TAGTTGAGGCGTCATGCAATGGTCTGTATGTGTAAAAATGAAGCATATAGAAATGTTAGAAAATGGCTAACTAACAATCAACATTGTTGACTGTAAAACATTCTTAGTTATTTTCTGCTTGAACTATTACATGTCGCTTGTATTAAGTTTTATTGCCCAATCAAGACCGCCACGTAATATCTAGGCCAGTGTTTTATTGGCTGTGATCAACAAACTGTACTGTGCTTAAAACCTGATAATACTCGTCCCATTTTGTTAACACTAACATTCTATTAAAAGATGACAGTATGTTATTAGAAAATGTACATCATATATTCATATAGTCATTATTTCATGAATTGCAAAAAGAAAAACGCAAACAATTTAACAAAATATTTAGTTGTATGCAGCCTAACCCCCTCAATGTCGACAGACTTCGATATCATATTTTGCCGCTAAAACATTGATATGTAAATACAGAATTTGTGCTCACGATTCACAAATGGAGAAGTAACAGAATATGTAAATTTTGTAACTATGATGAAATTGAAGACAAGTTTCATGCTCAGTTAGTTTGTCAATCTTATAAGTATATCAGAGAAAAGTATATCGAAAAATACTATTGGTTAAAACCATCAATGTATAAATTGGCATTGCTATTAAAAAGTTCAACATTGAATAGGAGCCAGTATTCACATACACACACTCAACTTTCAACGCAAAATAATTCAGAAACGAAGATAGAACTTGCTGATTTTACAATATGGGGCCAGGGCGTCTGGCTTAAATCCCAAACTGTCAATCAACATTCCATTATTTAGACTTCAAAAGAAAAAAGGGACCTGGTACAAAAGAAGACAGAATGTTTTGTTCACAAGTCGAATAATATTTTAAAGGTTTGTCGACTATTTTTGAACACATGTCTGCAATTCCTACCGATAAGCGAAACTGATAATCGTAAATTCACTAGATTTAAGAAAAAAGAAATACGTTATGCATGTTTTGAAATTTGTTAAATACTGTTTGTTCCAATGTAGGCTACATTGTAGTATTCGTCTATTTAATGTCATATGATATATATTTGTAATATTTATACTGAGCGCCATTGAAAACGCATCATTTAGTTTTTCGTATAACAAAATGATCCTGTAAACATATCTTATTTATTTTGCTTCTTATTGTGAACAATATTCAAATGGGAACACATCAATAACAACACATTTGTACACGTATGGATGTTTAATCTGTAATCAAGAGTACAAAGTCAGAGGGGTCAAAACCAAAAGTACGACACAGATGTCAGTAGCCCGTGTGTCCTCCACGGGCCATCATCACGGTAGGCTACAGCATTAACGCGACCCATGCAAATGTGTAGGGCGGTCCGGTGATGAAATGTGAAGCCTCACCACACCATTACACTTCCCCCACCCCATCGATCCGTTTCGAGGATGCAGCAGTCTGCAAGATGTTCCCCAAGACGTCTCCACACACGTTGACGGCCATCGGCGTGATAAAGATGAAAACGACTCCCATCACTGAAGAGCACACTTTGCCAGTCTACTCTTCTCCATGTCTGGTGTCCTTGAGCCAATATCAAACGCCGCTGACGATGATGAGCCCTGAGGATAGCTTCAACATAAGGTCGTTGTGCACTGAGTCCTACTTCTCTTAGACGACGTCCTCCGGTGTTGGCACTTACTGGTCCTTGTCTTCCGACGACTGCTGCTCCTGTTCGAGTCGCTGGGCGAAATCTGTCATGGAGATGAGTGACCCGGATGTAGCGATCTTGAGCCTGGGTTGTAACACGTTGTGGACCAGGACGTTGACGGTCATGTGTTGATCCAGTAACTCGAACACATTCCACCAACCTTTCAATAGTGGACTGATGACAATTGAAGTGTCTGGCAATAGCACGTGTAGACGTGCCAGCCCTGGACATTCCCATGGCTTCATTCCGTTGATTTTCAGTAAGTCTCGGCATCTCTAGCTCGATTCCTTCACACGTCCAACAACAAATTACGACAGATTGACGTTTCACAGTTCATGTACTGCACATTAAGTTGAAAACATGCTTTTAAAGGGCTCACACACAATGCTGCACGTGAATATTGGGTTTTTCATGTGCATCTCGTGCAATTTTTTTTTTTGCACATGGGCCGATATTTTTTGTGTTTGGGAGCATTGTGTGAAACAACAGTTCAAAGTATTGCATAATATTATACATACAAAACCACCTAGTAATAAAATATTTGGGAAAAAAAAGTGATGCTCAGTATATATTGGAAAAGAATTTATATATGCCTTACCTTTTGATGTCCATCTGTTTTTATGATGTAATGTTTAAAATAAATATGTGTCCATTTAATAAACAAATATCAACACGGAATAGACACCGATATTCACACGTACATACCTTTGTGTGACGCGTCAACCATTCTATATCCTTATATATCTGTAAAATTATTGCCAAAATTTCTAACTGAGACATTAATTTCAAAGAGCTAATTCGGCCTAGAAAGTTTGACAGCTATGCTAAATTTATAAAAATGACTGCCGAACCAGAATTAGAATATGCATGTGATGTGGTTGAAATAAGTTGAAAGAAATCGAAATAAAGGTGAAACATTGAACAATTTGATCTAATACAATGGCTGTGCTAAATCTATAAAAATGGCTGCGGAACGAGAATTAGCTTCGGTATTTTCAGTTTCTTTCAACTGATTTCAACAATATAGGAAAAGGTACGAATCAGTTTGAGATACGAAGTGAAGTACGAAAACGGCTCATGTGAAGTATTTCCCACACTGACATAACAATAATTAGTTGATTCTTTGTAGGTTTCAGTTGATCTCCAGACGTATGCCCTAATGGTAGGAGATTTACGCTCGCGCCATAATCAATTTTGAATTTGAATGGGTTATTACTAACTTCCATGTGGGCGTGTATGTTTTTCGTCACCTTATTATCAACAGAGTTAATATATAGAATACCAAATGTAATCTGAGTCATCATCATCAGGAGATTCTTCACATTTATATACTTGGGTTTGTTGACATTTTGATCGAAAATTATTCTTTTCATTACCGACAGAACATGTTTTCCCCATGCAGGACACCTTGATTTAACTAATACCTGTCTATAGCCACAAAAATTACATTCATTTTACTGTGATGGTCTGTTCAATAATCTATGCTTAGATTGATTACAAGAACCTTGTGGACGCGCTCATGTGATTTAGCAGCTTATATTTTCCTAAACCTATGCCTTCCTCGTGGGTCATTTCAGATTTGGAATTAGTTACTTCAGATGCACGACATGTTTCCATAGCTATCGAGGGTAATTATCGAGACCAGTAGCAACTTCATAGTTTTGCCATTGTTATAACCAAGTCTGAAATCATCAAGGTAACCAGGGGCTTTCACGGAGGTGTTTTGTCTTGTTGGCAGTCCTTATTGTTTTCAGCTGGATTATTGGTGGTTAAATTCAGGGCAGACATTACTGCAGCTACGGTGGCCTGCAAGACAACAGGGTCAATAGCTGGTTGATTTTCATGTATAGGATTAGTCATTGTACATTCATGACAGGATGTTCTCACATAAAAGCTCAATTTAAGTTAGTTTTGAGGCAATATTGATCCCAAATTCAGCCACCATAATAGGTCTATATATAGTGATGCACAATACAATAAGATAACACTAGAGACAATATCTAAATATTGATATTTGAGCAGTAATATCTCTTTTATTTGAGAAAGAAACTGCGTTAACAGAAGTTACGGAAATGACTCACTTGTTTTGTACAGATACACAGAACGTGGTGCGACTCAGCTGCATACTGTCAATGTCTTTATGCCGAGTTTCAATGTACAGAACAATGTTAGGCCGGGTGCACCAGGGACATTTTATGAAGTAATAGATAGCAAACAGTACCATGGACACGCCTCCCTTCGGAGACGGGTCTAGGGTGCTCCCCTCCAGAAAATTTGTGAAAATAGGGTTTGCACCTGAGGAGATGAACTATGAAAATAGGGTTTGCACCTGAAACTGACGGAAAATTAAATTTTGAGGCTAAATTTGCGTTATTGGCATATTTTGATTTTTTTTATGAACATTATAAAAATTTGAAGTCAGGAATATGACTTTAATGTACCTATAATAATAATTAATGAGAAAAACTAAAAGTTCAGAATCGGGTTCGAGTGCGATTTGTTTGAATTTTGAAGATTATCACACTGTATTGGATGCCCAATTCATTCATGGGGGCTAACCAATCTCACTCGGCATTGTGGGCACCCGAACAATTATATTATGGGTGCCCATGATCTCGTTGTCTCTTCCCGGATGGGCACCCATATTGCATTATGTGCAGCCCAACAATCAAGCTGTTTTGGGCACCCCATCAATCAAGTTGTGGTGTTAATCATGTGGTGAGACACCTTATACATAACGGCCAACCAATGTCACTTGGTTTTATGGGCGCTTCGCCAATCTCGTCTTGGGCGTCCAGCCAATGTCAAGCCGCTTTATGTTGCGCCCATACTGATATGGGCACGTTGGTCGTTGGCTTTGTATTGCATCCAATGGAAAGGGCAGGCCGCATTTGGCGCCCATTCGGGGAGCCGATTTTTTCCCAATGGGCAAAAGGGGAGCCGATTTTCCCCCCAATGAGAAAAGGACGCCTTTGACACCCATTGGGGAGGGCAAATTTTTCCAGGGGTACAGCTACGAGCCTGGAAAATGGCCAAAATGTTTTGTTCTACCTCCATTAGGGGTATCTCGACATTTAAGCAACCTTTGGGGCCTTGGCTATTAGCCTTATACCAAATAACCTTTGTTCTAGCATAGGTATAGGAATATCAGAAAAAATTATGGACTTAAATCTCCAATCTATAATAAGTTCTTACTGTTAATCAGTTTTTACTTGCAAAACAATAAATATGTGACAATCCTTGGGGCGGCTTATCTGCTGTAGCCGTATGCATCATTGTCTGACAACCTATCTTTGGTTATTTTCTTTTTCAGAGTAAATCAAATGGTACACACCGACATCACCGTGGTGACTATAAACATCCCATAGCAACTGTTGCCTACATGATTATATTTGGAGATGGTTTACATAATTTTATAGATGGGTTGTCTATAGGAGCTGCATTCACAAATAGTATATTGTCCGGCGTCAGTGTATCCATGGCTTGTATATGTGAAGAATTACCCCATGAATTAGGTTAGCTAATAATTTATATAGATATTTTGTCAGTCAAAAATATTTTGTATATTTTGAGACTGAATTTTTTAAACGTGGATTCTTTTTTTCAGTATGAAATAATAATTAGACTGTCCATACAAAATTTGAGTAAACATTCCACAGTTCAGCATTATTTTGATTTTTATACGCCCACATTGAAATGTGGTCGTATATTGTCGTCGCCCCCGTTCGGTCCGTCCACAAGCAACTTTAGCTGTAGAGGCTAAAGTTAATATCTGATTGACTTTAAATTTATATACAGTGTTTAAGGCCATGAGACGAAGAAGCCTATTGATTTTCAGCAATTTCTGATAATTACTGCCAGAGTTATGGCCCTTGATCACTTCAAAAAATCTTGTGGACGCTCTAGAGGCCAAAGTTAATATCTGATTGACTTTAAATTTATACACAGTGTTAAAGGTCGTGAGACGAAGAAGCCTATTGATTTTCAGCGATTAGCGATAAATACTGCCAAAGTTATGGCCCTTGATCACTTTAAAAAATCTTGTGGACGTTCTAGAGGCTAAAGTTAATATCCGATTGACTTTAAATTTATACACAGTGTTTAAGGTCATGAGACGAAGAAGCCTATTGATTTTCAGCGATTTTCGATAATTTTTGCCCGAGTTATGGCCTCTGATCACTTTGAAAAATCTTCTGGACGCTCTAAAGGCTAAAGTTAATATCCTTTATCCGGCGGCAAAGCAGTTAGGGCGGGATATTGAAAAAGGCTCTGTTTGTCCGTCCTTTTATTGTTACCTGCGCCTTTTGCTAAGTAAAAATTTATCAGATTAAATGTTAATTTGTCCACATTTCAGTGTTGGCGTATTATGTCGTCAACTTGTCTGTCCGTCAGCAAGTGGCTTATGAACGAGTTAGAGGCTAGAGTTTTTAAAGGATTCTTTTCAATTTAGTGTGAAGCATTGTGGACATGCAAGGACGAATCCTGTCAATTTTCAGAATTCCACAACTTTTCATGCCAAAGTTATGCCCCCTTTTCCAAAAACCTTGTGAACACGATAGAGGCTGTAGTTTTCAACGAATTCTTTTCAATTTTGATATGAAACATTTTAGTCATTAGAGGTCGAACACTATCAATATTTAACATTCTGTGACCTTTCATACTAGAGTTATGCCCCATTTTCAGAAACCCTTCTGTGACTTGGAGGCAGACCACCATTAAATTTCACCATCTCAGTACCCACAAATTGTAGTTCGTCTGTTTATAGCAATTCTCTGTGTCTCTTTTCATCCCTTTTGCATGCCCATTTTTGTTGATTTTTGGTCTAGAACTCATCCATCCTTAGGGCGTAACGGTGATATACTAAAATCGGATAAATATCGAAAGGAACCAAGATCTATGGGTTATAAACTTACATTTCAAGTTTCATCAAAATCAGAAGAAAATTGTGACCTCTAGAGGGTCAACAACATTGATATACCATATTTTTACGCTATTTGAGTACGAGGGGCGGCCATTTTGTCTGTCAGCTTTGTTCCGAATATCGTAACGAACCGAGATCTTTGGGTCATAAGCATACATTTCAAGTTTAAACCAAATCGGATAAAAATTGTGACCTCAACAGTGTTCACAAGCTAAAAAACGTAATTTTTCGTACAATCAGGGGCCATAATCCATGATGTTACAGTCCAATAAATGCCAATATCGAAAGGAACCGAGATCTTAGGGTGATAAACCTATATTTCAACTTTCATTGAAATCGGATAGACTGTTCACAAACAATTGTTGATGGACGGACGGAGGGCCGGACAGGGGCGACGACAATATACGCGCACATCAAAATGTGGGCATATAAAAACCTTAAGCATTTTCTAATCGGTTCGGCAGCTGTGGTCCAAATGTCTAGCATTGCATCCGGAATTCCATATAAGAATCTATTTAGAAGTCAAAAATGCGACTCCTACACATTGCGAATAAACTGTAAATCAATTGAACTCATTTCAAGGTGGAACTGCATGCTTTTTGATATGGTTGGGCTATTTCTGGCGCCAGATAATCTAAAAATAGAAGTCGATCTGTTATATGGCGAGAAAATTCTGTTATTAAAAACAACCGGCATGGCAATGACTTCATAATAAGTTGGAAGGTCTACAATAGGGATCTTTTAGTGAAATGTTAGAGAAATTTAAGTTTAGATATATCCTTTGTGTTTGAATTACCACTTATGGTTGGTTGTGTCGTATTATGTATCAATCTGGAAATTTCTGTTCTATAGCTATTGTTCTTGAAAGTAAGACGCACAATTTACGCATCGTGTCGCGTTTTGATATTTTTTAATAATTATGAAACAGTCAATGCGTGTCTTTTTAGTTAGATTTCAGTTCTAGAAAAATGGGTTGTTGCTGGATTTATAATAACTGAAACGTTTTGTAACCACCATGTTAGAAATTGCAAATGCAGTTTTTACTCACGAAAGCATAAGGATACTAAACACGAATAATGGCATAGCCATAATGGCACATCCTCCTATTAAATTTGACACAAAACTGGAGGCCAAATTCGCAGCGCCCTAAAATGATTAGAATCCGAGTCTTGTGACCGGAATTATGATTTTATTGTCCCCCGCCTTTGGAAGAAAGCAGGGGACTATTGAAATGGGTTCGTCCGTCTGTCAGTCCTTCACACTTTTTGGGGACACAATAACTCTCTTTCTAATTGAGCTACAATGTTCAAACTTGGTGTTGGTGTTTATTAGGTCAATGCCTTGATGGAATTCGAAGATGAGCATTTTCGGCTTAGGGTAAGCAGAGATAAGCAATTTGATTGGTTGATGCTTTTGGACACAATAGCTTTAGTTCTAATTAAGTGAGAGTGATGAAACTTGGTGTATAGTTTCATTACATCAATACCTTGACTAAGTTCGATAATGAGCATTTTCTGCTTAGGGTAAACAGAGCCATAAGCAATTTGATTGGTCGAGATCTTGGAACACAATAACTCTCCTTCTAATTGAGGTAGAATGTTTAAACTTGGTGCAGGCGTTCATTAGGTGAATGCCTTGATGGAGTTCTATGATGACCATTGTCTGCTTGAGGTAAGCAGAAAATATGCAATCTGATTGGTTGATGCTTTGAGGCACGATTACTTTGGTTATAATGAAGTGAGAGCGATGGAACTCCAAATATAGATTCATTATATCATTACATTGTACTTTGACTAATTTTGATGGTGAGAATTTTCTGCTTAGGCTAATGAGCGATAAGCAATTTGATTGGTCAAGACTTTGGAACATAACAACTCTGCTTTTAATTGAGATAGAATGTTTCGACTTGATGTAGATGTTCATTAGGTGAATGTCTTGACTGAGTTCAATGATTAACATTTCGAGCTGAAGCTAAGCAGAGCTAATCAATTTCATTGGTCAATGCTTTGGGACAAGATAATCTTGATTCTATCTGATAGAGAGTGATGAAACTTAGTGTATAGTTTGATTGCTTGATACTTTTGAAAAAAAAATAAATGTGCGATTAATTAATGTGTGTCATCTATTTATTTTGGGATTTCGGCAGGGGACATCAGCCTCACTGTTGGCTTGTTTTAATCATCCACGTCTGGTTAATCGAGTAATCGAGACTAGGGAAAATAATTTTGTTCAATTAATTTCCAGTCTCAAATTTTTTCTGCTTATTTATAGCTAGCAACAATGTAACTTCTAAAGTAACTAAAGCGCCCACTAACAACAGAGTTTTACGGTTAAATAAAAGTAACTTTCACAGTCTTGCAGTTTCGGTATGTTGCCACAAGAGTGGATTTAAAAGATAGAAAAAGGGCGAAACTACATGAGTTGACCGAGAACCGTTACAATACGTCATTGGTTAATGTCAACTTACTTAGAAATTAAATCGCCGACTTTTAGCCAAAATTTTAATCTAGTTCGTAACTAGTCCAACAAGTAAAGAATAATTTTTTACATGGCTTCATTGATAAAAAAGTGAATGAATATTGTCACGTGAATGTCTATTTTGGGCAACTGTTTGCTGCTGCTCATAAACGAAGTTTTGATCCGCGTGACAATATGCTGTTAAAACAGGTCAGTTTATATAGTACAGATAATTGAAGCTGTGGGCCACTCAATCTAGAGGTCACAATTTTCTTCTGATTTTGATGAAACTTGAAATGTAAGTTTATAACCCATAGATCTTGGTTCCTTTAGATATTCGCGCATATTGGATAGTAACTTCCTGAATTATGGCCCCTGATTGTGTTTTTAGCTTGAGGTCCCCCTAGTTGTCAGAATTATTATCCGATTTAAAAAAACGTTCAAATATATCACTGTAAAACTGTTATTTTGGTTGAGTTTAAATTTTGTGAAAATCGGGCCAAAACTGCCGGACAAAATGGTCGCCCCCTGTACGCAAATAGTGTATAGCATCTTGTATATCAAGCTTGTGGACCCTGTAGAGGTCACAATTTTGACCTGATTTTGGTGAGAGTTGAAATACATGCTTATAACCCAAAGAACTTGATTCCTTTCGATATTCGGGCGTATCAGATCGTAACTTCCTGAATTATGGCCCTTGAACGTACAAAAAATCATGTTTTTAGCCTGCCGTCCATGTAGAGGTCACAACTTTTATCCAATTTAAAAAAAACATGTGAATATATCACCATTAAAATCTAAGATCTTGGTTCCTTTTGATAATCGCGTATATCCGAAAGTAACTTCCTGGATTATGGCTCCTGATTGTTCGAAAAATCGCATTTTTAGCTTGTGGATTCTCTAGAGGTCACAAATTTTTTTCCAAAGGTTAAATTCGAAATTCGGGAAAATCGAAATGAAATTGCCCGACAAAATGGCCGCTCTTTGTATGCAAATTGTGTAAAAGTATGCAATATGAAGGTTGTGGACCCTCTAGAGGTCACAATTTTCATCATATTCTGATGAAACTTAAAACATATCTTTATATCCCAAAGATCTAAGTCTCCTTTGATATTTGCGCATTTCAGACCATAACTT